GGGGGTGGTCGCCGTGCCGTCCCTGAACCAGGTCGCTGCAGCCATTTGAACTGCAACAGCCAATATGGCTAAATAGTTCCTTAATCTGACTGAAAATGGGCTTTTCTTTATAATCAATAACTGTGTGGCACTGTGGTCCAGCCAGCTCTATTTGTGAACAGTACCTGAATTGGTTTCCTTTTGCTGTAGCTGCATTCAGGTTTAGATCACCAGTTCTCTTCTCCCCAGTCAAAAATGTATTTTATTTTTTTTGTTTGCTAACAAAACCAAAAAAAAAAAAAAACCTGAGATAACTGCATCTAGATCCAAATATGCAAGTAAAATCCAGTCAAAACTCAACTATCAGAGAGGAGTAGGGCACCTCATCTTTCCTTTCTCATTATGCTTAGATCCTCTCATTGTGCTTTTATTCATTGCCAAAATAAGAATTCTGGACTGAAACTGGGTCTTTCCTCCCTCCTTAGGAAAAGGAGCTGCAAAGGCAGCAGTAAGGTATCCTTTTGCTTTTCCCAGTGTTGGAGATGATGCTGTGATGTACAACATTGAAGAGTGATGGTTGTTAGGGCAGCTAACAACAGCAATACAAACGGTCACTGCTGCAGCCAGGGGGTCCCAGGATGCAGAGGTGCCTTCAGGGACACTCTTCTTCCCATCACTCCCTTTACCTTATACCTTGAGGTTACTGGGGAAGGGTTAGGGGCTGGGGGGGTATCCAGAGCCAGCTTAGAATGCTTGGGATGCTGTATGCAGCAGCTACAGAGCAGCAGTGATTAACGTGGCGTGGAATCCAGCCCAGAGTGCTTTTCCCACATATGTTTTTATAATTTGTCAAAATAGAGAATTACTCTGATGTCTCTGCTAAACGAGCACGTAGAAGATAAATAAAAACATAGCCAAATTTTGTCTTCTGTAACAGAGACGAGAATCTAGGGTAAGTTGCACTGAAGCCAGCGATTAAACTGTTGAACAGTGTTTGGCCCTCAGTATCCCTTTTCTTTCCAAGTTCCCCAGAACCTTGGGAATAAAGGAATTAGTTGTGGAAGGTGGTGGGAGGACAAAGCAATAGGTTAACTGATTGCCAACTGCTGCTGACTAATAGTTGTCTCTGGAAGAACTCTGCCTTGCATTTTCACCTGATATTATCTAGTGCTAAATGTGTGTATCAATTTTTATATGGGAGAAAACGTAACAGCATGCTTCTGCGCTTTTCAGATATTATTATCCAGTATCCTCAGTTCTCTGGTTACTCATATATCACCTTTGAACCACTGAAAAACTCCTATCAGACATTTCAAATTACCCTTGAATTTAGGGTAAGTTTATCCTGAGTTCACATAGAAGTTTTACAATTTCTTTGCTTATTCTGATGCTATGGACATTGGAACAATAAATTAGCTTCATTATAGCTGCTAATGTAATTGTGGTGAGCATATACATAACCTTCATCTCTAAAGATCTGGCTTCACATCCAATAAATGTGAATGAATTTGGTGATCTGAGCTAAAATATTTATTATTGATAGCGCATGAGCGAATCCTTGGCATTAGCAATACTGGGCACGGCAGACTAGCAGCAATGTGCCTTGGGAGGACTGTAGTCATCTGAATGAACTACAGACTGAAATACACCTGTATTTTTGCAATTAAAATTTGCAATTTGGAAGTGTCACATGTTGTGTTTACATGTGAGAAATGGTGATCTTGTTCACCTGCGCAAAAGTCTGCTGGAGTACCTATTTTCCCCTCTGAAATATAGGACACCAGCCGCTCTTAACTGCAAGATACTGAACTAGTCAAATTGCAGGCCTGATGCAGTAGAGTAAATCTCACATTGCCTTGTATTAATGCTGTCTGTGTATTATGGAGAGAGCTGGCAGTGTCTCCTGATGGGAAGGTGGCCACGCTTGTGTCACAGGTGCAGTCCTGGCGTCCTCTGCTCCCACATACCGCAGAGTCACCAGCCTCACACTCCAGCTATGAGACTATCACTGGAACAGGGGTAACCCGTTGCCTCCCCTGGTGATCTGTCATAGGAGAGATGGTCCTGAACCATCTAAGTATTAAGGCCATGTGTTTTTTTAGGTTCTTCAAGTGTGGAATTTGAACTAGACCAACCTATTTTTGGTTTTGCAACTTAAAGACTCCATCTGATAAATGTTGTACATTTTCTGGAGAAAAGTACCCCTTCCCTGCTCACATTTGTCTGTCACTTTGAGGCTTACATTTTGATATTTCATGTTGATGTGTTGATTTTAGGCGGAATCAGAAGATGGTTTGCTGCTGTACTGTGGAGAAAATGAACATGGTCATGGCAATTTTATGTCACTAGTAATTATCCGACGTAACCTCCAGTTCAGGTAAAACATTGATTTCTACTAGGCTCACTTCCATCCTGGTGTAAAGGGTCATTGCTGCCTCCGGAGACTCCTTTATGTGTGGAATATCTGTTGTATCTTTGACTTCTGCCCAAGGCAGTGCACAAAATGGATAGTATGACTTCACTGAGCAGTTCTTCAATATTTTGTTCTCTCATCCTTGTGTAGTGCATAGACATATGCCTTGTTGAATCCACTTTACGCAGACTTCGCTGCAAAGGCAAAATGAGTTTTTCTTACACAAAATGAGTTTTCTTAAGAACATTATTATGGAGATCATTGCTGTGTTATCAGAAATGCCAGTGAGCCATTGCACTTGCTCACCCATTTGCTCTGTAGAGTTTCTTTGTTTCCCAGCAAAAGGACCTGAAGAGAATACAGTAAAATAAAGAAAGAGATTTAGTGTGACAAAGGGGCTTGGGACTTCATCTCATACTCATCATTTAGATAGGAGGGGCAGTTCTTTTAGATGAAGATGGAGGAAGTTTCTTGCATTGCCTTAGTATATGAGAGAATATCTCAGAGGTCTCCTTATTTGGGAGGGTGGTTCCTCTGAAAGTGGAGAAAGACCAAGGCTATGATGTATCTTAGTCATGTTTCTATTTACCTCCTGTACTGAGGGGCAATCAGAGAAAATGGTGTGTTTTGTGCATGTTCAGCTCCACAGAGTTTCATATAGAATCCCAGAGTTATTAATCTAACACTGCCTTTCACCAGGGACCTAGAAAAAAACCCCAAGAGAAATTATTGTGTTAGCAGGAATTCAGATTGTAATACCCTGCATCTTGAAACAGTTTCTGCTGCTGGCAAGATTTGCATGCACTTGGTAGTGCCAAAGGATGCAAAAACCTTTTCCATGAGAGAAAGAAGTATATTAAAGAAAGTTTAAAATGAAGATCAGATTTAGATGAAGATCAGATTTTCCTGTGTCATTTTAATATGGAATGTGAAACAGAGAGGTTCTCAGAAGGGAAGGGAAGGGAAGGGAATATTCAGAGCCTAAAAATGACTGTTGGTTATTTAAGTTAATGAAAGACTGTCACCCTGAACATGCTTCCTCGTCTCATGCTTCCAGGTTCAACTGTGGCACTGGAGTTGCAGCCATAACAAGTGAAAAAAAAATCAAACTGGGGAACCGGCACAGTGTCATGGTGTTCAGAGATGGGGTGAACGGCTGGCTCAAGATGGACAGCGATGCTCCAGTCACAGGCAAATCTCAGGTGAGTAATCCTGCACCCTGGAGCTCTACCTTGGCCTCTCAAGGTTATGATGACATTTCTTCTTGCCAGAAGTCCGATCAGTTAAAAAAAAAAAAAAAGTACATTTTTATTCATTAGTATTGAGGAACTTAGTGAACCAGGTTTAGACCATGGAGAGACCACTCTTCCAGATATGCAGTCTAGAAATATACACATAATACACATAGATAAATATCCCAGCAGTGAATGCCATCACAGTCTCCTAGGGTGCTTTTTACTTGCTCAGCCACCCTTCTGCTATATTTTCCCAATCTCAGATACAGGCTGCTGTTAGAAGCTTGCCAGGGTTTACAGCTGCTGTCCCTAATTTCTGTGTTTTTCAAGTCTCAGAGAATATAATCTTGCTCTTTTCTGCTTTCCCATCCAGAAAAAAAATTGCAAGCATACGGGTGTATCTACATATGTATATGATATATTTATATATATATAGCTGGACACCAGATATGTATACATAAGTGTAATGATGTGTATAAAATGAACATGGATTTAAGCACAGTAATATTTTAATGAAAGATATTAAAAGGAAACTCAGATTGATTGGAAACTTGAAGAACACAAATGCGCTGCAGAAGCATCCTTACTGAGGAACAAATTGAAAAGCAAAACAACTAAAAGAAAACAAAGTTAACGTTATATTATAAAGGTTGCCACACAGTTAGAGGGCCAGATTCTGCATGCCCTGGATTATATTAACACCAACAATTTCATATGAGACAGCTGGCATAAAATATAATAGAGGAAGATGTCTTGACTTGCTTTTCTGTTATCAGGCCAGAATCATAGAATCATAGAATCATAGAATGCTTAGGGTTGGAAGGGACCTCTAGAGATCATCTAGTCCAACCCCCCTGCATACGCAGGGACACCTAGAGCACGTGGCACAGGACTGCATCCAAGCGGGTTTTGAAGATCTCCAGAGAAGGAGACTCCACAACCTCTCTGGGCAGCCTGTTCCAGTGCTCTGTCACCCTCACTGTTAAGAAATTTTTCCTTAAGATCCTATTGAATTTTTGATGTTTCAGTTTCCGGCCATTTCCTCTAGCCCTATCAGTGGCCACCACTGAAAAGAGACCATCCCCGTCCTCTGCACTCCCTCCCTTGAGGTACTTATAGACACTGATTAGATCCCCTCTCAGCCTTCTCTTCTCCAGGCTGAACAGGCCCAGCTCCCCCAGCCTCTCCTCATAGGGCAGATGTTCCAGGCCCCTGATCATCCTCATAGCCCTG